GAAGTCAACGGTGTGACAGTGTCAGATTTAAAAGTTATCTAGCCTTTTTGCGATTTTCTTTAGCTTTACATTGCATTCGTTGTTTAAAATAACTGATCTGTGCTGCTCATCTTCTTCGTTTATTAAAAATACTGTCAGACTTTATATTCGAATTCAATCTCTCAAATCTTGAGTCGTCTCGTTTAACTTACATGAGTTTAAATTACGCTTTTTAAAAAAGTTTTCCAGTTTCTTTTTTCTTCTAATATTTGGTACGAGCTCGATAGCAAGTACAAACTCGAATTCACTATCGGCCGATTATGAATGTCGATAGCTAAACTTATGAAAATATAAATCTATTCTTTCTTTATGAACAAAGAAAACACTTAGTTCCGTCTCCAATAATTATTTTGGGGGCATTAAACATTTAACAAGAACGAATTCAATTTTAATTTCCCAAAGATTTTCTCCAACTTCCAATATTTCTCTACTAGTCTCGCGAATGTTTACAAGTTGTCAAATTCGAAACGTTTTGATTGGTTCTTGAAACACAATGACACTTATCTAATTGGTTGAACACAAACAATAGGAAAGGAATGTTGTGCTCGGGTAAGCAGCCGCTACTCAGGGGAGAAAGCGCTGCGTGACGACACTGAAAGCGGCTGTGGGGGAGACTAAGTCGTGCCCGACTTACACAGAACCTTGTGTAGCTTGAAGAAAACGAGAATACCCCACAAAGCCTGTTGTCGAACAGATTCAGCCAGGGTTCAGCGTATCAAGGGAAACTTCGAAATTTAAACATACAAGCCTCTTCACTGATAAAAAAAGGAATGTGCCGAAGTCGTTTTCGATATATTCACGATTAAACATAAGTGTATCAAAAACGTTTGAAGAAAAAGAAGCGATAAAAAACTTTCCACGAAAAATATTCAAGTCACTAGCAATCAAGCTTTTGACTTTTGAAATTTTTCAAGAATCCTAAATTATTTTGTCTAAGACGATCAGATGAGTAAAACCAGGTAGGTGAGCTTTTTCCCTGTTAAATCCCATGTCATTTTTTCAAAAAAATTGTCACAAGCTTCGTTTTAATGCACTCTTTCGGAACTATTCGAAACGAATTATGCAGTCCCGTGCAAAATTTTAGGGTTTTTTCCCTGTTGAAGTTTAAAACGTGTATCCAACTTAGTGGTAAACGCGGCGCTTGAACAAAATTACCGGCCCTAAGCATTTTCGGAGCTTGAAAGAACGAAGTAAAAATGGCGGTAAAGTGATATTGTTTTCATTCTTCCTTTCCATTTTTAGCCCGTGGAGAGCTATCGAGGTGGCTAGATTTCTCATTTTTCGGATAACGCAGCTCAGCCAATCTTTTTGGGTAATTCCCGTAACCATAGAATCCATGGTATTCCCAAGTGACGTCACTGGAAGTGACCCTCAATGAAATGATTCACCAAGTGTCATTTGCTATCATCATAGTTCATTGGTACTCAAAAAGCTTACCATGGGTTACCTTTGATTTTGCTTCTTGTGGCCACGTCTATCATCTTATACATCTTATAAAAAAAACCCGCAACAGTACGCATGGAATGAAAACCGGTGACAAAACAGCTAAAGGCGCTGTGAATGGCTAAAACAAAAATTCATCACTTAGCTGGATGGTTCCTCAATAAAATTCTGAAGGTCATTTGCGGTTTAGAGCGTGCGCAGATTAAGGCTTATCAGTATCGTTGCGTAAGAGCGTGCGCACTAGCTTCGTTTCTCTATGATAGGCAGCCACCTTAAACGACGAAATGACATTCTAGGGACTGACACAGGGCATGAAATGGAAAGACGTTATCCCYAAGCTTAAAAGAGAACATATAAAACTAAATATAAAGGGTTAACAATTATTTTTTTTACCATCGATGTCGAGTAAAAACACATTCAATTAAAAAGCGGGGGAGGGGTTCGATAGTCAGCAGAGGAGAGCGGGGCAACGACTGGGGGGAAAACACGGCCGCTTGAAAAGTTTACGTATTTGGACACCACGAAAATTGGTCGAGGACATTTCAAGGAAAAGCATGTTAGTACAAGGAAAGCTGTCAACATAATAAAAACCAAACCTTAGGCATTGATTAATAGATTAAAACATTTCCCCACCGTATCTTTAGGAACTGGGCTTATCCTAAACTGCACTACATTTTTTTTCGAAGCCATAGTCGGCTTTTTATAGCAAGTAGGTGAGCCTGCCCACAACTAGTAAATCAGTTTTTAGCCCCGCCCTTTCACATCTAAAAGAATAAGTGATACACTGACCAAAGTCTTTGTCCTGATTCATACATGAAAACAATGAACTCCGACATATAATAATACTTGTGTGACTTTTCCTAGTGAAATGACCATATTGATAGTTATTAAACCAGTAAAACCCCATAGGCTCAGGCCTTCTTTCCACACCTTGTACAAGGTATTCATATGTCTCTATCATTGCAAGCTCACCGTTTTTTTCACTTCGATGCAAAGGCACGGCTATCTTTCAAGATGGCGCAGGGAACTGTGAAGTGGACTATTGATTCAAAGACTTGTTCAAACACTTATCAACTCATTGTTATACATATTGATCCTGTAGTTGGATTCTCCGTCTAAAGCTTTAACAAGGAAACTTAAGCAACTTGTGGATCCTATCTACTAAAGTCTACTTACATTCGGTTTATGCTCCAGTTTTGAGTTCTCTGTTTCTCAGGGTTACACTCGATTTCGTGCAGAATTTACATGTGTTCCAGTCAAAGTCAGTGGAATTTAAAAGTGTATATTCTTGAGGTTTGTTATTCTCACTTTACCGTTGATATTTGTGAGTGTCGCGATTCACTAAATAGTCTCTTATATTTTTGAGACGACAATATTTTGTGGTATTATCGTTTCAAAATTAAGGTTTCTGGTTGGCTAACGATCGACGAAAACGAAAGCTTGAGCGCGCGCTTGTAGACACGAGTAAAAAACGTCTGCGCATGCTCTGAATCCGTATGGAAATCAGTCAAAACATAAGTAAATTTGACTTTCAAACATGCCTTATAAATTGGACTTCACAAAATGCCAAAACTTAGTGTCCATGCTTGAAACTTGGTCTGACAAAAGTATATTCTCGRCCATTTTCGTATACTTGGAGAAAACAAACATTTATTTTCTCACTCAAACTCTTCAAAATTCTTAGAAAAAGTGCTGAAGTGCACGCAAACGTTTTTCTCTGGTGTTGCGCGCGTCAAATTTTTACGCTAGTTGCATGCGCCATAGCGCGCGCTCATAAGGAGAATTTCGCCTTTAATCAAAGAAAATTGGTCAGTTTTTTTCCTTTTTTGTGTTTTAAATTCTTTAGAATCGCAATATAAAACTATTTACGATTTTGAAACGACAATACCACGTAATATAGCCGTCAATATTTCGTGGTATTGTCGTCTCAAAATTTTAATTAGTTTAAAATATTTAGTCACTGATTCGAGGCTAACCCTGAATGAATTAGTCTGCAATCAAGGAACCCAGCGGTAATTTGGAACTCAAAACTAGCCTTTTGGACGATAAGGTATTCAATATATTTTTCAGGTTCGTAACCCTGTCGTCTTACTGGTATTCATAAGGTTTTGTATAGTTGGGTTTTCATTCAGTCCTTTCGATCACGTTCAGTCTATTAGTAACAAGCTAAGACGAATATCATATTCTTTCTTGATTAACTGACATACACCTGATAGATGTTGTGTTGCTTCACTTATACAGCTCGGTGTACGATAACTAGTGGAAGAGTGACGTCAGAGTTCCAAGTGCACTCAAGATAATCACTTGAGTATGTATTTTTACCTGAAATATCGATTTTTGTCCTGCTTTGGCAAGGAAATCCAGTGGAGGTCCATCAGGATTGAATTTACGAACTTTGGTTTTGGGAGCCTTTGGTATTYTTTTTGGTTTTTTGGATGTGGTCCAAGGTTGGATAATTGAAGATGTAATGTTATTCATTGAAATGTTTGGAGCCAGGGTAACGTTGCTTTGAAGAGTAGTTATATTGARGACCAGAGATTGAGTTAACCGTGCAGATAATGACTCTATAGTTGTAGGACTAACGGCCAGAGGTTGGGTTAGCATTGTAGAGGATGACTCTATCGTTGTAGCTTTGAAGGTCAGAGGCTGAGTTGGCAGTGTAGAGGATGACTCTATTGTTGTAGCTTTGGTTTTGAAATACTCCACATCAGGATTACTCACTATTGGATGATATTCATAGAATAATATATTTCAATATAAAGTTGAGCATTGGTAGTGGTCTGTGGGTTGATGGATGGGTTGATGGGTGGGTTGGTAGGTGGGTTAGTGGGTGTGTTGGTCGGTGGGTGGGCAGGGGGGTGGGTTAGTTGGTTGGGTTGGTTTAATTTTTATCATTATTATTATTTATTTTCATTATCTAAAAGGATTACCTATATGAGGGTTTAATAAATATATAAATCTAAACATATAAATACGAAAAGAAAAAAATACTCAAAAAAATCATTTGAGGATACGTTGGGATTCGACGTCTTCAAGCAAAAATGCACTTTAAATAATTCCAAAATTATTGATTCCCCACTGTGCCATACCCCCAAGACATCCGCAGATCTGAGGCGTCCATATAGAATACGGACCTGACGACAATTAAGCCCTTCCTTTACCCTTGTTTGTACGGATTAAGCAGGATGATGTTCAAGCCGAAGCACAAGAGGAGAGACTAGCCGGCCCCAACATTTTACGCACGCCACGGAATCGATGGTAAATTTGATGGTGAAAAGTCTAGTTTATCTGGTGCATTGTTTTCACGGCTATTGTTGTGCTAATTTCTTAAAATCTTGGTCAAGTGCAAAAAAAAATTCCAGGACATAGAGTAAAGCCCTGGTTGAGCGAKGTCAGTACATGGATGGGTGACCTGAAACTAGTGCCTACTCAATCTTTGATTTGTATTTTATTCATTTCTTTTTTCTTTTTATTTAAACATATGTTTTCCAAATACATCAACCACGAGTGCGAAAGCGTTGGGGGTTCTAGGGGATTGTTATRAGTGAAACAGCGTCAAGATAAACARAACAAGCCTTTTAATACCGACGCAATACGCTACAAAACAGACCCATCRTGTCTTGCGCTTTAGCACTGGGTTTCCACACCTAACACCTTTCCCCTATTAAAATTAATTGACAATATATTTTACGGCAAATATATATCACTTAGGGATTTTAACTAGTGTGCTTCACACCTATCAATTCAGCTTGTACGACTTTTGTTTCGTAGCTTGTGGTGCTGGAGCTAATGTCTTGACCTGGGTGCTCTTTTTGCCAACAGCTGTTCCATGAGAATCTTTGTCCCTTTTTAACTGATTTTCTTTAGGTTTTTGTTTATGATTGTTATTCTTTAGTTGTACCCTGTTTCTCCTTAAGACTTAGCTATCCACTGCAACATCATATGGACGAGATTCATGTTTTCGTACTACTGTTCCTTTTTTCCACTCTTGGCCTTAGGTTAGGTCCTCGGRTTTGACTCTCACCACATCTCCAGGTTTCAGGTCTTTTAAGTCTTTGGCATGTCTGTCATAGTATTCCTTGGCTTTGTTGTCCTTTGCAATTTTTCTTCCACGGCATTCTCTGGAATCTCTGAGTTTAGCAGTGATACTTTAATTGGTATTTCTGTCCTGGTGCGTATAAATATCTGAGCAGGGCTTGTGTCCATGCCTACAGTTGGTGTATTTCGCTGGTCTAGTAAAGCTTCATATCGATTCACACCGCTCTTTTCTGACTGCTTTTCTGAACACTGACTCGGCTTTTCCATTGCTTTGGCGGTGATGTGTGGACTTGGCGTGTTTGATGTTCTTCTGTTTGCAGAATTATATGAATTCAGCTGAGTCATAATTCTTTCTTGAGTCACTCACTAATTCATCAGGAATTCCCCATCTTGCAAATCGCTTTTGCATTATGTTGATAGTTTCAGCAGGTTTTTACTCAAGTCATATTCAATCAAATCACTGTAATAGTCAACCATGATYTAAAAAATAAAATGATGGTCTTTGTTCCACTCGAAGATGTCTGAGCCAACTTTGGACCAAGGTCTGTCAGGTTGCCTGGTTTCTTGGTTGAAAAGAGTCGCAGACGTCGCAGCTGGCAATCAACTATCTGAGGCCAGTATAATGTGATTATCGTTCGCCTTACGATTGATTCTGTGCCCATGTGAGCTCTGTGCAAWGTTTGAATTAGTGAATTGCTTAACGCCCAAGGTACGACAACACGATCACCTGCGTAAATGAGAGTATGTGGACCGCGTGGCACTAATGAAATAGTAGAAGTTAATATAGGTAAGTTGTAGTGCTTGGGAACGAGGTTATTCCGGGCCGAAAGCCCTTGGAATTAAATTCGGAAAAATTAATTTCCGACCTCGCTGGGATTCGAACCCACGACCTTCGGAATTGTACTACCGATGCTCTACCAGCTGAGCTAGAGGTCAGACTGAGAGCAGGCCGGGGTGAAATAGATGTTAGGTNACCGATGCTCTACCAGCTGAGCTAGAGGTCAGACTGAGAGCAGGCCGGGGTGAAATAGATGTTAGGTCGCGGTAATTATGATGCAAAGATGAGAAGAAGTTAATATAGGTAAGTTGTAGTGCTTGGGAACGAGGTTATTCCGGGCGAAAGCCCTTGGAATTAAATTCTCATCTTTGCATCATAATTACCGCGACCTAACATCTATTTCACCCCGGCCTGCTCTCAGTCTGACCTCTAGCTCAGCTGGTAGAGCATCGGTAGTACAATTCCGAAGGTCGTGGGTTCGATYSCCAGMGAGGTCGGAAATTAATTTTTCCGAATTTAATTCCAAGGGCTTTCGCCCGGAATAACCTCGTTCCCAAGCACTACAACTTACCTATATTAWCTTCACCTGCGTAAATGATTCCGTTGTTTATGGAAAGTCCATCTTTAATACTCCAGAAGGGTTAAATGTCAGTGGGGATGCTTTTTGTGTCTGTCCAACCATTGGCTATGTAACAGTAATGATAAAGGGGYAAATTATACACCGTGAAAAGATGAAAAAATGAAAAAACTTACTGAAATTTCGGACGCTAGTCATTCGTCGGAGTAAAAGAGAAAAAGGTTATGTAGCGGGCCAGTAACTGCAGYGTTTTGTCTTGAGTAGTTGCTGCGATGATATCTATTTGGAAGCGACTAGCTGTAATGTTTTCCGCTTCGTGATCAGATCCTTCAGAAAGAATGTTGGTGGTCTCTATTTCTTGTTCTATTCTACTTCTTGTCAGATTTATGCTGAGAGTATCAGCGATAAAAAGCTCATTTCTTTTCACATACTTGAACTCTGTGTCATATCCCATGATGATTTTGCATAACATTCTTTGTAATCTTATGGGATCCTCAACTGGCTTTCTGAAGACTGCTGCAAGAGGCTTGTGATGATTGTGAACTGTTGTTTTCCTCCCGTAAGTGTAGGTGTGAAATCTTGTAAAACCATATACGCAACACTTAGCATCTCTTTTTCAACCTTCTTTACGTACGTTTCGGTTAATGCTCTGGATACATAGRAGATAGGTTGGTTTTCCTGCATGAGACACGCTCCTAATCCACTTGAGGATGCATCTACTTGTATCTCTACAGGTTCAGATGGTTTGAAATATCTCAGCAACGGTGCTTAGGAGATTAGCATTTTGATCTCGTCGAAAGCCTTTTGTTCGTTTTCTTCCCAGATGAAAAGYGATTTCTTTTTTAGAAGTGCTCGCAGTGGTTCAGACTTAGTAGATAGATCTTCAGCAAATCTTGACAGATTTGTTACAACGCCCAGTAGTTTTCTGACTTCATCTTTGTTTGTTGGGGCTGGCATGTTTTGGATGCATTCTTGCTTTTTGCATCAAGTTTGATCCCTTGGTCTGTTAGAACCGCACCCATGTAACACAGCTCGGTTTTTCTTAGCCAAAACTTGTCTTTGTTGAGTGTCTAATGTTCTTTTGACGGCATCTGTCCATCAATGAGAGCAATCTTTGACCATGATTCTGTGTTGCTTTCTCYGTATCATTACCTTTCACCCCAGACAAGAATGTCATCTGCTATTGTTTTAACACCTTGCAGCCCTTTTAGATTATCAACTATTCAGTCTTCTCTGGAATTCTTCAGGCGCAATGCTGATACCAAATGGCATCCTGTTCCACCTCATTCGTCCCAGAGGTGTGTTGAARGTAGATAGTAGGGAACTTTCTTTAGCAAAAGGTACATGCCAGAAGGCAGACTTGACGTCAGCAATTGAAAATTGAAAAGTATCTGGGCGTAACTTTATTATCTGATTTTACGTGTAAAGGTTATTTCTTGCAAGATAAATCAACGTCTAAGTCTTTTACGTAAGATAATGGATCTGCTCCCCTTGAATACACGTTTACTTTTTTACGATAGTTAAATTCTTCCAATTTTAGACTATGCAGATATTGTATGGGGAGACAAGAATAACATAGAAATAATGAAATTTCTACACTATATTACAAAATAAGTTTTCCCAGAACAAAACCAATAAGTTAAGTACTCAGCTGAGTGATTTTCCAGTATGCTTACAGCTCAGAAGACAGGTAGTTTCGAAGGTGATAAATCATGAAGCTTGGTTCGGAGCCAAAATCAGTGAGACACAAATCAATTAATTTCCTTGAAGAAGACAGGGATAAATGTGGAAATTAAAAAATCTGCCATCACCGAGGAAAAARCTACAAAAGACAAATAGAGATTACTTCATGGAAAGCGCGCGCGTACGGGATTTTCGCACGAGTTKGTGAAGTATCTGAAATCGAACGAGTGAGCGAAGCGAACGAGTGAGATTTCAGATACAAAACCAACGAGTGGGAAAATCCCGTACAAAGCGCTTTCCATGCTGTAATCTATCTATTTTATAGATACTGAGATTTTGTTGTTTTTATTTATTCATCTTTAATGGGTTCTCTAAAAAAATACAAAACTGCTGTATTTTAAAATTCTCATGGCGCAGAATGCCCGGACATATTGCCTTTGCCGCCTCATTTGCATACGCTCGTAATCACTGAAGCGCGCGGGAAGTTTGAAAATTTTGACTCGATTTACAAAAGAATGAGTCAATTTTGCGACAGACACGTTAATACAAGACAACTTTTCTTGGACTTGCGTTTACAAAATACCGGGCTTGCGGCTTGAAAACTAAAGTTGAAATATCAAAGTAATACTTCGCAGTTAAAAAAC